CCAACAACAGCAGTGAAGCCAGGCCATGGTGGTGCACGCCTTTGATCCCAGCACTTGGATGCAGAGGCTAGCAGATCTCCATGAGTTCAAGGCCAGCCTGGTCTATAAAAGTGAATTCCGGGACAGCCAGGACTATTACACAGAGAAACCTTGTCTCGAGGGGGAAAAAAACTGAAAGAAAACATTTCCTCCCTATAATTTAAGCATCTTTGGGGCTGGGTGTGGTTGCCTGCTTTGGAGGTAGAGAGGCAGATAGATGGATATCTGCAGTTTGAGGCCAACTTACTCCACATAGCAAGTTCCGGGTCATCCAGGACTACCTAGTGAGACCCTTCTCAAAACACACACAGGGACAGACACAATCACATATCTTTGGGATTTAAATATCATCTAATTCATTCTTATAACAGTTTGTAAAAATAAAACTCCTAGAAAAATGGCATACTGTCTTTCAAATAATTTACTTCTAGAAGAAAAGGCAAGGAATTAAGCCATAGTCTTCTAACCAGGGCATCTGTGCAATATAGCAATAGGAAATAAAGATGATGAAGCTGAAAAATAAAATCTGCCAGGGGACATTAGAAATCATTTTCCCTGAAATAGAAAAGGCTGAGGCAGAGAAGAATAATATTGGTTCTAGTGGGTGGTCCTGCTGCCGACTGGAAATGAGGGCCAGGGAGCAGTGGTAACTCGTGGGTGGCACTGAGTAATGATCTTTGGAAAGCCTGAAGTATTTGGCAGCACTGAAGCTTAGGGGTGTCCACCACTGTTTGAATAACCTGAAATCTCTAGCCTTGCCATACTAAAGTTGTACTGACACTGCTCATGAACATTAATACGTAGGTAAAGTTAACATTCTGTTGGTGGAAAATGGAACTTCAAGTGGTTGGCTTAAGGCTTTTCAGTTTTCACTGATGTCTTAATCTGAAATCCTCGTACATGCATCTAGTTTGACACCTGTAAACTGTTGTTTTCTGTACATCATTCAGAGTAGGATTTAATATTTCTTTGTGTTGTTGTTTTGTGGGGATTTTTTTCCACCTTTAATGTTCGTTTGGGTTTTTTTGTTTTGTTTTGTTTTTGGTTTGTTTTCTTTTTTGTTTTGTTTCTCTCCACCCCAAGGCAGGGTTTCTCTGTGTTGCTTTGGAGCCTGTCCTGGAACTAACTAGCTCTTGTAGACCAGGCTGGCCTCGAACTCACAAGAGATCCGCCTGCCTCTGCCTCCCAAGTGCTGGAATTAAAGTCGTGTGCCATCACTGCCTGGCTTGTTTCGTTTTTTGAGACAGGATTTCTCTGTGTAGCCCTGACTGTCCTGAAATTCACTATATGTAGACCAGACTGGCCTCAAACTCACAAACAGTACTCTGCCTCCCGAGTGCTGGGATCAAAGGTGTGCACCACCACTGCCTGACTTTTTTCTGTCTTTTTAGGACAAAGCTTCCACTAGTACAGTATTTTGTCTTCCTTTTAATTGACTTGGCAAATTAAAAATGAACTGGCAAAAAATATTTTAGAAGCCTTAACCATATATTATTAAATAATCTTAAAATAAAATGAGATACTAATAGTATAGAATATTATGTATAATACCCTATAAGTATTTTTAAGATGAATATGTTTGTTTGAACATGCAGAGTAGGTGACATAAGAAACTGAAACTGGAAACTATACGGGGGGGGGGGGGGGGGGGGGGGGGGAAAAAGGGGGGGGTTTGGGGGGGGGGGGGGGGGGGGGGGGGGGGGGGGGGGGGGGATAGGTGGCAAAATGGATGGCTATTGGGACTGGAGAGATGGTTTGGGATTTAAAGCACAGATTGCTCTTCCAGAGGACTCAAATTCAGTTCCCAACAACTTCCAGCACCTGGGTATCTGACATGTTCTACTGGCTTCCATGGATACCTGCACATACATGCGCATACCTATAAATAAGTCATAGGGAGCTGGAAGGAGATGGCTCAGCAGTTAAGAATGCTAACTATTCTTTGAGTTTGATTCTCAGGACCCATGTTAGCTGCTCATATCAACTGCCTCTTAACTCCAGAGCCATTGGTATCTGATGCTTCTGACCTTCTGGGAACCTGCACTAATGTCCACAAACTCACTCAAAGACACACACACACATATATAATGTATATAATATTCTGTTTGTGTGTGTGCCTGCAGGCCAGAAGAGGGCACCAGATCTCATTACAGATGGTTGTGAGCCACCATGTGGTTGCTAGGAATTGAACTCAGGACCTCTAGAAGAACAGCCAGTGCTCTTAACTGCTGAACCATCTCTCCAGTCTGATATGCATAATTTAAAATAAAATTTTTTTCTAAATGGAGAGCTTAATTTTGACTATATATCCTTAGTACTTTATGAGTCCGGTATCCCAAGTGTCTGTTCCTTATTTAGGAAAGAAAGAAAATTTGATTTTAGGAGCCTGGGGAGATGCAGCAGTTAACAATGTTTACTGCTCTTGCGGAGGACTGGAGTTTCATTGTGGGGGTCAGAGGGCTCATGGCCATCTGTAACTTCAACTGCAGGGTATTTGGCACTACCTTCTGGCCTCCAGAGAAACCAATATGCATGTGTGTGTACAGACACACAGACAAAACATAAAATATATCTTTTTTAAAAAAATAGAAGTTGCTCTTTTAAAACAGAATAATAAAAACTGAAGATTCTTTAATTTGTTGTCTGTATTACTGGCATATAGACTTTCTTTGTTTTGTTTTACTGAGTTGGGAGTAACACTATGTTGCCCAAGTTGGTCTCAGACATTTGATCCTCCTGCCTTAGCCTCCCAAATGCCAACTGGCATTATAGACATATGCCACCACACCTTGTGGTAAACAGGCTACTCTTAAAACAGCAAAAATGTTTTTCATTTGAAATTTTGGATTATGTTCCAATATCTAAAATAGAGAAAAGGTTGCTCCAGTCAAAGCAAGAGTAGAGATTATTGGTCTTCCTCTGGGGCTCCTAGAGTGTTTTCAGGGAGCTAAGAAGATGTGGATTTCTTGAGGACCTTTGGAGTGTAGAATGAGCATACTCTTCTATAGTTGTGACACGCATGATCAAGCAATTCAAAAGAAGGAACTTAGTTGGCCTTATGGTTTCAAAGGGTTAGAGCCCGTGGTAGAACAAAGGCATAGCTGTAGGAACAGCTGAGAGCTCACCTCTTGGTTAGAAAGTAGGAAGCAGAGAGCCTACTCAAAATGGCAGGAATCTTTGGAAACCTTAAAGCCTGTATCCCCAGTGACATACTTCCTCCACCAAGGGCACACCTCCTATCATCCCATTTATCAACTGGAGACCAAGAATTCAGACAATACCCTGTGGGACCCATTCTCATTCAGACCAACTACAGTTTAAAAACCGTTGCATCTGGCTTAAATGGTAGTTCTGTCTCTAGTTGCTGTTTCACTGACAGTTTAAGTTGCTTGTTCTGCTTGATTCTTAATATCTGGTGCTTTGAATGGAGGCTCATGGAATCTAGTATTTGGCTCACAATGTGTCTGGAATGCCAGTTAAGTGGGCTCACTCTAATTTTAAACTGAAACACCAAAGATATGTTGCCAAAGTGTTTCAGATTTTGGCTTTTTAGTGTGGTGGTGATTGTCCTTTCCCAAACAGCCAAAAAAGTAGAACTTTGCCTGGTTCTGCTGACTACAGAAGTAGCAGTTTCCCAGGCTTGTACAGTGCCTGGGAAGTGTTTTTGGTTATAGATGAATTGGAAAAATACCTCCTTTGTCTAGTAGCAGTTGATATATTGTCTTTTGCTAGAGACTACCTTTAGTTTGATTGTCCTCTTGACCTAAGCTAATAGAACACTGTTAGCACATAATTCGGCTACAAGGAACTACAACAGATTTTTCTCCAGCATTGACTAGAAAATGCTTTCATCTGGTTAGATTATAAGTTATTAACAAAAGTTATTTTAATGTCATGGAATGAATTAACAATTACTGGATATTCTAACTTTTAAAGTTTAATTCTTAGCAAACCAGGAAAATTTTGATTGCAAACCATTTGGAAATAAAACAAACAAAAGCTTTATGTGGGTTCTTTTTTTTCTGTTTTTTTCTTTCTTTCTTTTTTTTTTTTTTTTTTTTTTTTTTTTTTTTTTTTTTTTTTTTTTTTTTTTTTTTTTTTTTTGAGACGGTTTCTCTGTATAATGGCCCTAGCTGTCCTGAAACTAGCTGTTGTAGACCAGGCTGGCCTTGAACTCCCAGAGATCCACCCACCTCTGCCTCTTGAGTGCAGGGATGAATGCACCACCACTGCCCGGCTAGTTTTTGCCTTTTTAATGAGTTAGGGGGAAATGTATCAAGTTAGGACTTAAAATTTCTGCTTTGTAGCTGTGAACCTTAACAACAGGAAGAACTAGCTGTGGCTGGAGATACTGTAATTTAATTTTTTCTTAGACTTACTTGCCCTATGAGTGTCTAGCAATCACTAATCCTTGGTTTCAGGTTTATCATCAGTATAATAAAAGTTAAGCCAAATCTCTTATATAGTTTTAGCCAAGTATCAAATATAAAGTGAGTATGAGACATATTATTTATATAGAGAACATACTCAGTCAATTGCAGCTGAATTTTCAATGTTTAAAACATTTTCTATGAAGAGTTTTCCACCTTTGTTTACTGGTTAATAAAAAAATAGTAGTCAAGCAGATCCTCTGGTTTATTTAACTAATCCCTGCTCTTGGCTATTTCTCCACGTCCTAAGTAGTGACTATTTCGTTGCCCTTTTACTTTCATCTTGCAGTGACCTCCTAGAAACTAGATTTGCTATATTTCTGAATGGTGTTGTGTTGTAATATGAGCTGTGGGGCTGCGTCCCCAGCACCCCGGCCACCTGGCTAGCTTATGCCCCGAAATAACAACACACAAACTGTATTCATTTAAACACTGCTTGGCCCATTTCTATCTAGCCTCTTATAGGCTAATTTTCACATATTAATTTAGCCCATTTCTTATCATCTGTGTAGCACCGCTAGGTGCGCTTACTGGGAAGATTCTAGCCTCCGTCCATCCTGGGTCGGAGCTGCCTGGGAGAGAGCAGCCTGGCGTCTCTGCTCCAGAAAGCAGAGCTGTCAAGTCTGAGCTCACTTCCTCTTTCTCCCAGCATTCTGTTCTGTTTACTCCTCCCACCTATGTTTTAACCTATCAGGGCCAAGCAGTTTCTTTATTGCTTAACCAATGAAATCAACAGATTGATATATAACACTCCCACGTCAGTGTTGTACTAAAAAAGTTCTAGGAGGAATGGGAGTAAGAAGGCTGTAACAAAATGTCTAGATTAATTTAAAAACAAACTGTGGACTTGATGCTTAGGGTGAGTTCAGCAAGGATTTCTTTGCTATTGTCTAGTATAGTTTACTACCCATAGAAGAGTTTCCTCTAAAACAGCCAACCTACATTAGAAACGGCCAAGATTCACTTGAGAGGCAGGTGAGTTCTCTATGAGTTTGGGGCCAGCCAAATCTACATAGTGAGACCCTGTTAGAGAGGGGGGTGGGACGACGGAGGGACGGAGAGACAGACTTCTCAAAGAAAGTCCTATGTGTAGAAGCTAGTCACAGGAGCTAAGTCTGTTTCTGTGTGTCTCTGTCAGACAGCCTATTCATCCTCCTTCCATCTCCCAGAGCTCTCGCTGTTCTCTGTTTCAGCTCCTTGTTTGGAGTCCTACCCTTCCCTCCTGCACAGGACCTTATCACATCTTCCTTAGTCCCTTTCTCACAGGTAAATAGAAACTCACAGCACAAGCAAAACAAGTTACTTTTCTTTACTCTTGTTCTCCATGCTTTCTATCAAAACACGATGCTTTAGACAGGTGTCTTTCAGCTGTTCCAACAGAGCCTGGATCAGTACATTAAGTCCAGTTGTTGGTGACTGTCATCCATTTGAAATAATTGTCGTTAATAAAATTTGAAAATAAGCCATGTGGTAGTATTTAACCCCTGCACTCATTTAATCCCAGCACTCGGGAGGCAGAGGCAGGCGGATCCCTGAGTTCCAGGACAGCCAGGGCTATATAGAGAAACCCTGTCTCCAAAGAAAAAGAAAAAAGCTTATCAAATCGAAAGACTAGACTGTTCACAAAAGTACTGTATTGGTAGGTTAGTGATTTATAAATATATAATTCGATTGATTTTTCCTTAGGGTTTCTTCATTGCTCAGCCCCTTTCTGACCTTCATTGACTGAAACCAGATTCCTATATCAGTGTCTGCTTCTGCAGAAGTGACTTGTCTTGTCTTTACAGCACACTTAGCATTGATTGTGGAGCATAAATTGCATTTCTGGTGCATGGGCATCCATAGCTTTTTAATCTCAGCTGGTTGTACAGCATAAGATCGCTTTTTCTCAGGTGATTGACCTCACACTTGTTCTTCCTGCTTCATTACCTTGAGTATTCTAACCGAAAAGGGTATGCTAAACTGAGTTGTGAGAAGTCTGCCGCAAAATGGCTTAAATCCATCTGCTGGAGAAGGAGTGCCGCTGAATTTTATTTTGTTTAGAGACAAATAAAGCAAACTGTCTTTTTGTTGTGATTATTTGACTTTTGGGTTGATTTTCTTTTTTGATTTTGTTTTTTTGGGCACTGTGTCTCCTGGCTGGCCTGGAACTTGCTGAGTAGCCCAGACTTGTAAGATCTTCCTGCCTGGCTTCTCGGGTGCCCTTACACCAGCAGTTGTACAGATAACAGAATGTTCTCCATTGATAACACAGCGCTAGACCTTTGGGCTGGTTATAAACCTACCTCATGGCTGATTGTGGCTCATTTGTAGACTGTATTCTTAATATGCCCAGGGCCTTGACTTTGATGCCTCGCACTGAAAAGAATAAAATTTGACCTTACAATATAAATGAGACATGAGCCATTATTTGGGAGATCTGGAATGTTCTTTCTCTAATAACTGAAATAAGATCGCTTTTGCTCAGGTGATTGACCTCACACTTGTTCTTCCTGCTTCAGCCTTCCAGGTGCCAGAATCTAGTTCTGTGTGTCATTATGCTCAGCCTAAGTGTGATCTCCAGTTAAATGTAGTTTTTTTGTTAAATTTGTTATTTAAAAAATAACATAGATGATAGAAAATTGATACTTTATTACACAATTCCAAAAGATTAGGCTAAATAAATCACAAGGTATCTGCAGTTGGTCTCAGCTGCTGGCATATGATAGAATTGGCTAAGAAGAACGTGAAAGTGAAACACGGTGGCTTTATCTAAAGAGAAAGCAATAGAGGTGTAATAGAAATGGTCAAGTTAAGGACATCTTTTAATATAAGCCATCAGAATTTGTTCTGCGTATGGGGAAAAGATGTTAAGGGTAACCCAAGGCTTTCTGCCTAAACCACTAGCAAAATGGAGTTGCCATTATCTAACACTGGAAAACTTAGATTGGAGGAACCAGGTTCTGGTTACAAATGCATGTTAGTACTTAGCCAACATTTGGAAGGACTGAAAACATTTTTAAAATATATTAAAATTTGTGCAAGATGCTAAAAGAAAATGTTGAATGGGGAGGGGTATTAGTGAGATGTCTCTGATTAAAGGTACTTTCTGCCAAGACTACCTGAGTGTAGTACTCAGTGCTTACTACTCCTCCAGATAATTGTGTTCAGGTCTTAATACCCATGTCAGACAGCTCACACCATCTGTAACTATCTTGAGTTACAGATCTGAGGGATCTGAGTCCCTCTTCTGTCTTCCATAAGCACCACACATATACAATATTAAATATAATGAAAACTAAATATTTAATTTTAAAGTTGTACATGGACAAAAGGAGCACTATATTATATATATTTTATATTGCCAGAGAGTATCATACATGATATTTTATTTGATACATGTTTTCTATTAAGTAATTTGTCATAGGTAATTTAAATAGGGTGTTTATTATTTAATGAACCTTGAAATGCTCAGTGTTTATAATTGTTTCTTAATTGTTAAGTACTGTTATAAAGATAATTAAATGTGGAATGTGTGCAGTTTTTCTTTTTTCTTTTTTCTTTTTTTTTTTTTTTTTTGAGACAGGGTTTCTCCGTAGCTTTTTTGGTTCCTGTCCTGGAACTAGCTCTTCTAGACCAGGCTGGCCTCGAATTCAGAGATCCGCCTGCCTCTGCCTCCTGAGTGCTGGGATTAAAGGCGTGCACCACCACCCAGCTTCCATTTGTTTTTTGGTGATAGGGTTTCTCTGTGTAGCCCTAGTGTCCTAACTTTCTCTGTAGACCTTGCTAACCTCAAACTCATAGAGATCTGCCTGCCGCTGCCTCTGCCTCCTGAGTGCTTGGATTAAAGGTGTGTGCCAGCACTGCCTAACTAAGTGCATTGTTTTTAATTTTATTCATAGAACTTAATATTATAGATTTCATTTGAGATTTGTAGTTAAAATTCATTTAGCAGAGATTAAAGTCATTGTTTTATTTTTCAGTTAGTAGATGATACTATTATATTAATTAAACTATTATTAATTATTATATTAATATTTCTGTTACTCAGTTTCTTTCATTTTGGTTTTTTGAGACAGGGTTTCTCTGTATAACAGCCCTGACTGTCCATGAACTCTCTAGAGCAGGCTGGACCTGAACTCACAGAGATACCTCTGCCTCTTCTGGAATACTGGGATTAAGGCATGCGCCACCACGGCTGGCAAACCAATTTCTTTATAGAATGGGGAAAATAATGAAATCTATGTAGGTTGTTGGAAACAATTTAGTTCCTTCATGGAGAGTACTTCAAATAGTCCCTAGCGTGCTCACTTCGGAAGCACGTCTACTAAAACTGGAATGACACGGAGAAGATCAGTGTGGCCCCTGCACAAAGATGACTCGCAAATTCGTGAAGCGTTCATATTATATAAAAAAAGATAGTACCTAGCATATAATTGTTGCTTATTAAATGTCAGCTATATGATTGGCTTATTAGTGTAGTAAAGCCTCTGGGTCTAAAAATAAAACCCATAGGGTTTTTTCTTTTATATGTGGTATATACTTATAATATCCTTTTGAATATAAAATGATTTATTATTATGAAATATCATATATAGTTTTAATTGGATGATCGTTTTTTATATAACACTGTGTCTCGATATCTTACGTATGCATCATTTGAGTTTTCAAACCACATTCTTAACTTCATATTACAATTTTGTCATTGCAGGCAAGAAGACAACAAGACCCTAGTCCTGGTTCCAACTTAGGTGGTGGTGACGATCTCAAGCTTCGTTAAGACTAGCACAGCACCCGTGCCACCCATTCCTACGTACACACTGCTTCTAGTTGGTATCAGCAACACATTGGGTGACCAGAAACTGTGATAACTGGAGGTACTGCAGTCAATTTCGTGACCTGAGGCAGTAAAAGACATCGTCAGCTGCCATGGTTTTGCACTATAATATCTGCATTTCTGGTTTTTAAAACATGTAGCCAGTAATAATTTGAAATTTTTTTCTATGCAAGCTTATCTTGTTGGCATTATTTTGGTTGGGTTGAAAGTATCTTCTTTCTCCGTTTTAATTTAAAAGTTCATGTCATTTAAGAACAAGATAAGAAATTGAAATTTGTATCAGGGTTTTCTTCAGCAGTTGCTTAAAATTATTTTATACTTTCAGATGAGTTGGTCATACAGTCTTCCTTCTAGATAAGCATTCTTTGTGTTTGTTTTCTCCATATTACTTTGTTTTTTTGTATTCTACACCATTTTACAAATAAGATGTGTTTGCGTTTTCTTACAAGCTAAACACCTAGCAGCATAGAGCTGTCTGCCACCGCCTCCTAAAACAAACGTTTACAGTTGTGAAAGTCACAGTATCCTTTTAAATACTAGTACTCACTTCTTTTTTTTTTTTTTTGCCCTTTTAAACATAAAAATTTTAAATTAGTATTCATCTTTATTTGTCTCAGATCTGTTTCAAGTTCTCTTCTATAATCATGAGTTTGGGTAGAGGTGTTCTCCATAGGTGATAATGTTCTACAGAAATGCCCAAAGAAGTCACAGGCTGGCTTCTGTTTTATTCAGGGATTTTATTTTTAAGTCAATCAGAAAAGGGATACTGGAACTTATTCTATGTAACAGCATATTAAACTGGAGGCAGTGATGAATCATCAGTACAAAGGTAAATTGTATTAACATCATGTTTAAGATAGCTGCTTTCATGTGTATTTTGTATTGCATGCTTTTGTAGAAACAATATTGGGTGATGAAGATTAGTCTTAGAAAATGTTCATCTGTGCAGGAGATACATTTTCTTCCATTAATTCTGGGCGAAACATTCACAGTTATATATGATGGTATTTTGCAAAAGGACTATTAATAGTGCATTTTGAGATGAATCAGTGTGACAATATTTTTAAAATAGGCTTAGTGTCAAATTGCAATTTTTTTAAATATAAAACTGGAAAAAAGTGCTAAGTCATTTGGCACATGCTTACAGATACTTTTCTTGGTCATATTCATTAAATGTTACTACATTTCTGAATTTTTGCAAAAATGTATTTTATCATAAAATGGCATTATTTTAGAGAATTTTAAAAACTGACATGGTCAATTCAGAAAAATCTGAATAAGGTCATTGCATTTAAAAAGCATATAAAGATACTTGATTGTGAAGGTGTGTCTTTCATTGTATATATATAATTCATCAACAAATACCTGTATCTCAAAATAAAAATATTTGTTATATATTTGAAGTCGTGCATGGTAAGGATTGTGTTTGAATCACTATAAATAATAATGTGTTACAAAAGATCATGCTGACTTTGTATAACTAAGTACTATGAATGAATTTGGTTGGTATTTGGTGTTGTACAGCTCACATGTTTACACTCTCAGTGCCCTAATTCCTCTGAGGAATTACCTTTTTAAAGTGATCCTTACAGGGGTGTTTTAAGGTTACTTTAATCACAGAGTTCCTTTGTTTTGACCTCTGCAGTTAATGTTATTTTTTAAAACAACATGTTGGTGGTACATTTTCTCTGCTTTTAGCCAAGAGCTTTCGGTCCACCAGTAAATCAGATCACACGGTATTAAATTTTGGTGTTGCCATCTCTCTGTAAATAGTGAATGTTTTTTTATTAGCTCTGCACTGCTTCTGTCTTAATGCTGGCATTAAGATCATAAACCCCTTTTTTCCATAGTGCAGACTTTTAAAACTACTTTTAAGTTATTGATGCAATTTCATATTTTTTCATAATCTATATTTAAAATTACATCATTGCATCATCCTTTCTAAATTCATCTCCATTAAAACTTGCCTTAAGCTACCAGGTTGCTTTTGCCATTAGCTTTACTGTATATTTGTATGTTTAATTTAGTTTCACATTAAAATTCTGTGTAGTGAAAACAAAGTCTTGGCTCTTTATTGATAAAATGTGATCTTTTCTGTCCTACTACTTTGACCCTTTTTACTTTTTTTTTTTTTAAGGAAAGCAGCAACAGTGCCATCTAGTGGTCACATCTTCTAGTTCCAAAGAGGCCAACCTTTAGATCACAATGCACAGTAATTTCCCAGTGTATAATGTGGTTAGTGGGAGCAGGAGGGTCAGAAGTTTAGTATCATTCTTGGCTACTACAGAGTTCAAGACCTAGGCTGGAGAGATGAATTAGAGGTTAAGAGCTATTGCTGCTTTGTAGGGACCAAGAGTTTGTTTGAGTCCTAGCACCCAGAGTAGTCAGCTCACAATCGTCTCAGTACCAGGGGTCCGGTGCCCTTTTCTGGCATCTGTGAACATAGTATACATGTACATGAGCAAGTACATGCACAAACTATTATTTAAGATAAAAAACAATTTATTTCTTTTTTTAAATTGGGGGGGCTGGAAAATTGGTTCCATGGTTAAGGGTACTGGCTACTCTTCCAGGGGATTAGGTTCAGTTCCCCACAACTACATGACAGCTCTCTGTAACTCCAGTTCCAGGTATCTAATACCCTCATGTAGCATCCTTAGACAGTAGGCACCAATGTGCCACATAGACATACATGTAGAAAAAAACACCAATACACAGCTGAGCAGTGGTGGTGCACTCCTCTTTAATCCCAGCATTTGGGAGCAGAGGCAGGCGGATCTCTGTGAGTTCGAGGCCAGCCTGGTCTACAAGAACCAGTTCCAGGATAGGCACCAAAGCATGAGATATGTAAAACAGTGACCTCTGGACAAAATAAACATATATCAAATTTTAGTACCGTCTTTCAGGATAGTTTAGAAATAATCATAGTAGGTGTGTATTAAATCTGACATTCCTAGAACAGGTCCTGGCATTTATCTAAACCTGAAAATTAAGCTTTTTACTTGAAGCATTTCATAAGTTTGATCTGTAATGAACAGATTTACCAATTTGCTTACTCACTACCAGATTTCATACAGATGACAAGAACACCTTAAATACTGGGCTAGCGCTATTAAGGAAGACTGAAGCAAGAGGATTATGAATTCAAGGCCAGCCTGGGATACATAATGAGGCCCTATTGAGGTGGGAGGGGGGTATAAAACAATTTTAAATGCTGACTGTGAGCAAGGGCACAGTGGACTGAGCCAGACAATTCCCCATGGTAGAAAGGAAGGTTTATTGGGGATCAAACTGCCAAGCTATCTCTCAGGGATGGAGGAACCGAAAAGCAAAATGGGGGAAAGCAAGCAGATCGTATTATGTCATCGGGGTGGGATGGGGGTGTCTTTGAGCTGTTGAGGATCGACTTCCGGACAGGATCAAGAAAGGTTTCTGATAAGCAAACCCAGAGTTCAGACCTTTGTTTACCCAGAAACAGTCCTGTGTAGGGCAAGCCAGTGCCTTAGGGGGGGGGGGGGTGAAGAACCTAACATAGCTACTAGGAAATTGTATATTTTTGGTTTTGAGCCTAGGCTTTAATGGCTGAGACATCTCTCCAGCCCACTACCAGGAATTTTTAAATTGCTTATATTGCTGTCATCAATATCAAGATTATAAATGGATAATGAATTATACAATGGAAATTTTAATGAAAAATATTGAAGCTATAGTATAAAAATAAAACAAAGTGTATCAGCTGGAAAGATAGCTCAACGGTTAAAAGCCCTGTTGCCCTTGCAGGCATCTGAGCTGGAAGCTGGCAGTTGACTAGAGAAGACTGAGAGGGTAGGTCGCCAGCTAGTTAGTAGCTTAGCAAGTTTGAAAGAACATAGGTAACACCTGCAGTATGGATTTTGAAAGGGGCTGCAGAGGCCTGGGAAAGAGATACAAGTTGGTCTGATTGTGTCAACTACATGGAAGACATGTGGACTCCTGCTTAGAAGAAGACAGAAGTCACCAAGCAGTTGGGAGGCTTGTAGGATGAGTGCTTGAGAATTTGCTTGGTTGACTGAAAAGATCAAGGCCAGAAACAGAAATGTGTGCTCCTTAGTCATAGGGTAGCCTGGTGGGTATGAAGATGACTCTGAGCTAAGGGGGAAAGTACAGGAACTGAAATTAAAATTTGTGCCCATTTTTTGTCAAAAATGGTCCATTGTGTTAATCTTAAAACATACCAAAAATGGGGCTAGGGAAATGGCTCAGTGCTTAAGATCTAGTTTTTAAAAAGGTAACAGCTTGAAATTTTTTAGCTAAATATCAGGGATATGCCTGGCCTTATATAGCAGAATTGAACACTACTGTCAGCCATTAATACTGAACAAGAAAGGAGGTGGCATTATAAAGAGGGATTTGGGAATGCCTGCAGCAAACATATGTCTTCTGTTCTTATGGACCAAGGTAATCTGGTCTCCTACCAGAGAAGACCACTCAGCACAGTTATTGGGTTCCTCCGCTGATGCAATAAATCAAATCAAGCCGAATTAATAAATCCAGATTTAATAAACAGCAGAGCAGTTGTGAATGACTCTCAGGAAGGCAGGAGAGAGAGCACGTGGGCGGTCCAATGATCAGGTCTTAAATACCCTCTAGTCCGCAGCTCTGGGGGAGGAGCTGACCCTTGGGGGGCTTTTTGAGGGGCGGGGTCTGGAATGGGAGGAGTGAAACCAGAGTGGAGATTCCCAAGGAAAGTATTTAGTCCGGCCTACTGGTGACTACACCTGGGTATTCTGAACTCAAGTGCAGCCTTGAGCCATTCCTGGAGTCCATATTTAAGCAAGAAAACCACATCCTGGCTGGAAAGTCCCCAAGATTCCTTTCCACAACTGCAAGCAGATAGTCGCAAAAGACAAAATATTCAATTAGCAAAAATAGGGAGGTCAGGCAACCTTTCAAAGAGCCCTCATCCTTGAGTTGTTTTCTTCCAGGGATTGTTTTTCTTAAATTCCCACTTACAGTTACTGAGGTACCGAAATGGAGTTCTGTGACCTTCTAGCCCCTGCCATAACAGGGCCTGTCACCCTCCTAAGTGAGGGGATCGCAGTCCTAACTTCCCTAGAAGGAAAGGATGTTCGCGGCTAGCTCTAAGAACTTCCACATTCGGCTCTCAATTATGAAATGCTTTGAACTGGGAGTGTAACTGTATTATAATACTTGTCTAGCACACACAGGTTCTGGATTGGATCGCCAACACTACAAGATAAAGAAAAAAAGGGCCAGGCCTCGGTGGTGCACGTCTTTAATCCCTGCTCTCTGGAGGCAGAGGCAGGCAGATGTCTGAATTCAAGGCCAGCCTGGTCTACAGTTCGAGTTCTAGGACAGCCAGAGTGACACAGAGAAACCCTATCTCGAAAAAAACAGGGAAAAAAGAAGTAATTGTGTTAGTATCCAGATGCCCCTTGGGAACTGGCACAGTCATCCCTCTGCACATGGCGAGCAGGTCCATGACCATATGCAGCAAAGGTCCCTTTAAGAGACAAGCTCTGCCCACTTCCCTTCTATCTGCCTGCCTCTTCCTCTCCCTCCTCTCCTCCCTCTCCTCTTTCTACCTCCCCTCCTCTCTCCGTCTCTCTCCCCCTTTCCTTTTAATAAATCTCCACACTCAAGCTCTGTGTGGCATATTCTGTCACCTCCGGCCTGGAGGGATAACGATAGGACTTTGATTCCCAAGCTGGGCTATGGTAGCGCACACCTTTAATCCCAGCACTCAGGAGGCGGATCTCTGTGAGTTCGAGGCCAGCATGGTCTACAAGAGCTAGTTCCAGGACAGGCTCCAAAGCCACAAAGGTAACCTTAGATTTCCTGAAACTCACTGTGTAGATGAGGCTGGCCTGGAATTCACTGCTTCTCCTTCTGCCAAGAGCTTTTCTCCTATTCAAAATTTCTTATTTACGACCGAACTTGAGTGGGTCACATTTAAATAAGCAAAGATAACATCCTTTATTCACAAAAATCACCACACACTACCCCAACTGAGAGTTCCTGGAAGTTGCTTCAGTAGTCTTCCTGGTTTTGTGGTTTATTCGAACTTTAAAAATCATTTTCACTAAAAATCATTTTTGCTTTGTATTTAGAAGCATGGGACTTTGTATCTTTGTCTTGCCGCTCCCAAGACCATTTCAGTTCAAGTCTCTCATACCCTTCTCCCCCTCACAATAAATAAAACAAACTGTGTTGTTTGTTGTTAGTTGAACCATTCCCAGTCTGGTTTGGATTAGAGTTCAGTTTAGGTGGGGGT